CCGACCGAAAGCGAGAAGAGACGGATGAAGAAGTCAGTTTGACAACTGGATGTGAGTTTTGGATCACTGTCACGTCAGTGGGAAGTCCTATCTATGTAACCGAAAGCGAGAAGAGACCGATGAAGAAGTCAGTTTGACAACTGGATGTGAGTTTTGGATCATTGTCACGTCGGAAGCGAGTATGTTGCTGTCATTGATGATGATGATGGCTATGCAACCGAAAGCGAGAAGAGACCGATGAAGAAGTCAGTTTGACAACTGGATGTGAGTTTTGGATCACTGTCACGTCAGTGGGAAGCGAGTCCTATCTACAAGCAGGTGTGGCTGGCCTCTTTATTGTCAGTGCTAAACGCTTTCAGATGATAGTCAGGGCTGAAAGATTGATATCCAGTTGTTTACGGTCTTACTGACCGAGTTGAGCGTATGGACTGTAGGTAACAGTCGCTAAAGAAAAGAAAAAGCTGGAAATGCCAGAGATTATTTCGTTCAATCCGCGCGACCGTCCCCCGGGAACCGGTGGCTATCATGGATCGCCGCCATTTTCAGTAAAGAAAGATGCTTCAACCGCTGGGCCGAGCACTTTGAACGACAATTCTCGTGACCACCTGCCGTAACTCGGGTCGCCGAACTGCAGTAGAACTTTGATTGGTGTACCTAGAACCATGTATGGCCTCGTTTTATGATTGCATGTGATCTCTTAAGCGCCGCCGAGCTCCTGGTCCGGATGACATTCCGCCCGCATTTTTACAGATGAGTATGAAGTCCTTGGTTAACGAATCTGTAGCTGAAACCGCTTTACTCCTGTGGACTAAACTGAAAGAGTGGGCATCATTTGAACCAAGAGCTCAGTGGTGTTCGAGGCCGTAAGGCATTCCAGGTTCCACATCTAGGGTTCCAGTGTTGTTTGAGAATCTGAGAAGTTTAGAATAAGAAAATGGGTACAACAGCGTCACTGATAGAATGACATTGCCATACCGGCGAGTAACTCTGTCTATTAATGTAGTTGGTTAACTTGGGCCTTTTTGTGTCTGATGCTGTACCTCTAGGTTAGGTGTTGCCCACCTTCCGGTACCTTGTGATCAGATCCTTCTTCGGTAAAAAGCATAACTTGACACCTGTTACACTTCTCATCCTTATCCCAACTTTCTGGAACAGTTGAATTTTGGAGGACAGTCTTACTTTTTAAGTCCGACTTACGCGCCTCTGGACCATGGAGTTCCAGAGAAAGGTCCAGGTATAGCCTACAGTCAGCTGTTAGTCTTGTGTTGTTCGTGGGCCGTAATCATATTAGTCTTGACCAGTTTTATTTCTTGAGAATCATTCCCGTCAATCTCCGTTGTTAAGTGGTGTTGTGCTAATGTCGCTTGCTAGCCTATAACATTTGCCGACTGTAGTCACTCAGCCGAAGTCGCTCTTAACACCCTTCCGTCTGTTCTCATCATTGTCAATTTTCGTAAATCCCATAACACCCCTTTTCCCCTCATCAGAGGCTAACTGGAAAATCCATGGAAGACGCTTGCATGGAGAGTATTTTATCTCAGTTAGATTCTGGCCTGGCAGTGGATTTCAACCATTCGTCCACTGTCGTTGAAGACCGTCAAAAGCATCCAAGAATTACGTTGTACAAAAATAGTGGACGCATCGCCGATCAACAGCGAAGATGGAGAGAGGAACTTGCCGCAGTGAACAGGAAAAAGCAGAGGGACGGAAAATTCGATACCAATCGTGGTCTACGTTCCCTTGAAGATGCTACGCAAGAAAATACGGAGGATGATTCCGCCCTACTTTGCAATCCTTGGGCCCAAAAACCAAAAAAATATCACGGGAAGAGTTGGAGGTCCTATTCTGCTCATCTCATGTTGGCCGAATGGTTGCTTTTCTTGCCACCAACGTTTCATGAGAACTACATGATGAAACTGTGTCCAAAAGGTCGCCATGTTTTTGTTTGGGCAGCGCAGGTGAGCCGCATCTAATTTCGGGTGCCTTGTGATTTATAATGATGCACCAAATTACGGACATTGCAGTGGCTTTCGTTCTGGCGTTACTGTATAACGATGGCGTTCTAAATAATGTTGAACCCGGTACGACGACAACAGGGACTAATAGTGGATCTGTTGTTACCTCGGGAGACGAAAAACTCATTTTTTTCTCGGAGTCGCCCATTTACATAATTATACTCTGGGTTGTTGCCTCCATAGTTTGATTAGCAAAGCTTCTCAGCCATCGTATATTCTCTACTAACTGACCCATCTTCGTCAAAATAAAATTTTCGATTATTAAGGACGAAGAAACCGAGACCGCCGATAATCGGAAAGGTTATTGAATCCATTTTTCCCTCTATCGACACCTAAATATAAGGAACTAAAGAATGTAAGTTGTGACTCACTCATGAGGTTGGTGAAAACTTTTCAACCATTATAAACGGGAGATTAGGTTGGATTCATTTGACTGCCGTCAACACAAAATGATTATGCGAACTTGGCGGAGTTATTTAAATAATGAACAATTTTAGTGTTTCGGACTTACCTACTCATATGTCGTCGTTCCCAAACCAGTTTTTGTTTTCGAGACAGTGAGCAGCCTCATGGAGCAGACCGTTTCTGATCATGCATCAATGTGGTGAGGCCGAGAATGGCTTCGAAGCAAAAATTTTTGACACCCATATTACAATCCAATCTAGCCGATGGCTGCNGCTCATCACTGAGGAATGCCGTCCATCACTCTCGCTTCATGTACAAGTGCTGTTATCCCGAAACACCAAAATGCCGGAATTCAGATAAGTCGACATGCTCGTATTTATTCCAGAAGTACTGACCCGGACAGAGAGATCTTTAGTTACCCTTTCCGCTATTCCTGTTTTTATGAGAACTAGAGTACTCAATACCTTATTCATAGGTGGTGATTGCGAAATACTTGGACGGTTGACTTCTGCAAATTAAATATTTCTTGCAGACCCACTAATGTTTGCTTTTCTGCTGAGCGCATTCTTTATGCATAATTAATAAAAACTTAGCTGTCCGAATGTCAGAGGTTTTGGCGGGTACGTGACTCATGTGCGCTATTCATCTGTTATTTCGGGGGACACATCACCAAACTACAATGTTCCTGGAATCGATTCTTTCGTCCTGATGGTGTGTGAAACTAGGCTAAACGATATAACTAAGCAAACAAAAAAATAAATGCGTGAATACTGTACGGACAAGTGAACACTGGCTACAGGTCGACAAACTTTCATGCATTTAGCGAATATACACTCATTTGCAAACTAATTTGGTCCTTTCGAGAGACTCACCTGGAACCCAGCTGAATCTCCCTTTTATGATGTCCTCAGGCAACTGAATGTGCTGCACCAGGCCGCCTCATGTTTCAGTCGCTACGATATTTGAAATATCGCGATGCATGTATATCTTTGTAATGGGGATGTCGATGGATTTTCAGCAACCTTATGAGTAGTACACTTCGAAGATATACACGTATCGCAGTATTTCAAATATCGTAGCGACTAAAACATGAGGCGGCCTGGTGCAGCACATTCAGTTGCCTGAGAACATCATAAACGAGAGTTTCAGCTGGGTTCCAGGTGAGTCTCTCGAAAGGACCAAATTAGTTTGCAAATGAGTGTATATTCGCTAAATGCATGAAAGTTTGTCGACCTGTAGCCAGTGTTCACTTGTCCGTACAGTATATGTTTGAGGTATTTTCTAAGTGCTTGAGCGGGCATCAATTATTTTGGCTGATATAGAAAGAACCTCAGTACATACATAGGTGCTTGATGACGCACCACTTTTAGAATTTGCCACGTTGTCTATCTCAGTCAAGTGGACGATGTCTATGCTTGTAGTAAACCGTATTGACGCAGTTTTCAGTCGAAACGAGTTGTGTTCCTCTATGAACTTGCATAACTTTCGTGTCCAAAGTCCTGCGTATTTTGCCGTTTTTTATCCACCTCACGGCGACGATCTGCGAGGATGAGCTGATTCCCGAATCCATTCCACCTATGGCAGGCGATGTACAGCCAGCGTAGTTCCAGCCCATTTTTATTCCACTACTGATGTCTGCAAGTGTGCCCAATAACAAGATATTGTCAGGTATTTCAGTCCTTACTCGGTCGCCAGAATTTTATCTGCTGGTGTCCGAACAAGGAGAGGGGATAGTGCTTCTAGACGTTAGTGAGTATCTTGGCAAGTTACTTTTAGTTTCGAGCTACCAAAAATTTGGAGGAATCTATCCTCAAACAATCAATCAGATAGGAGTAAGATTTTTGGCATTTTGGAGCGAACGATGCATTTCAGAACATCAGACTCCTAGCCTGTATTATTCTGAGACTCCACAAACAAGTCATTCACCTATTCCTGTCCTTGGTTTGTTCATATCCCACCTCGCTTCCCAGATAGATGAGTGGTGGACATCCTAAAGCCAGTGTATCTATTGAAATACCTCATATCCGTGAATGCTATCAATAAACTCAGTGGAGCTAAGAGACACATAGTCTCATTAGGCGTGTCTTCATTGTTCACTGAAGTCCCATTTGTAGCTTTTGTGGTCGCATAAAGGTGGGCAGTGTAGACCGAATCTGTGAGCTGATAGCACCGTTATTGTGTGAAATCTTGATGTGCAATTAGAACTGAGCAAAAGGCTGCGTCGACGGGCTGATGATACTGCAGTCAGGTTCCCTACTAGACATCCAAGGAAGCCACTGGCTCTATCCTATTTTAGAAGTGATGTGAATACTTTTAACACTGGTTTTAGAATGTTTCGTCAAATGCGTGTTTACATACTAGAACCCGTTCAGTATCATTGTCTGACGACAGTGAAATTATTTGTAGGTCTGTGCACCTAGGAAGTGAGTTTATGAATTTAGACTTATACTCTGATCGCATGACTGTCGGCCATAGGCCAGTCGATTGTGGCGCAACAGTTTTTCACGCTTTTGCTCACTGCATTTACTTGGTCCCCGTTTTGTTTGCATCGCGCCCGTAGGTTTTAGTTTTACATTGCAGGGGTCGGAAAATGATCATATTCTCTAAGCTGTGTTCTAAAGTTGTTATTTTCTTTCGACGAGATGCTGTATCCATCACACATTTCTCTGATTCGCCTTGAATGATATTTGTCGCCCGAGTTGTCAAGTTGATTTGTAGGCAAAGTTAGATCTGAGGCGATCGTGAAACATCGCTTTTCGGGTAAAAAATGACAACTTAGTTCGGCATCCAAGTTTGAGCGAATTACAATTTTGTGAGAATTCCAAACTTAGGAGTGCGTCTCCGCAAATGCGTCCTAGCTGCTCAGTACTCTCATCACCCTACGTTACCTGAATGCATTTTAGAATTGCACCCAACTGTCCCCGGAAATGATTTTTTTTCAATGCGTGCACTACTCGTCGATAATAAGTAGCTGGCTATCCTTATCGCTTTTAGGCTGTGTAATTACTGAGATTCAGCAGTGAGACCCAGTGAAATAATCAATTAAACCCGTTCGATTCCGCATCTGGAATCAGATGTCTCACCAGCGCGTAATCACGACTTATGATATGGGGGTGCATGCTGAGAGATTATAGTAAGGAAAAAAAGCAGACCCCTTCAGTGCTCAGTCAGACGATCCTCTCAAAGAAACTACAACTTACTGTGGCTTGTGTGTCTCCGTGGCCCATTGAACAACACTACGGAGTGTCCGTTCGATACTCAGCGATTATGTTATTTCAGGTAGGTCGATGGGTAGAGGTCTGGTTTCTTCGTTCTGCAAGTTGTAGGTTGAAACATTTGTGGCGGTTTGTTCTTTAGAAAAGTGCAAGGCGCTAGTATTTCCCGCCAGGTGCCGCTGCCTTGTGGTCAGGATTTTTGGCCAAAGGCTTTGGTTTATGGCCCTGATCGTCCTTCTACTTAGGTGCGGGTGCCCTCTCAGTAAATCAGCTAGCGTACAAACATGAAGCTCAACAAAATACTCGTATCATGTCATGGCAGCCGACCCGTGATGTCATCAGCTGGGTCGCCTTTAGTGCTGCACACAACGGGACGGGTAAGCGAAAACAGGCTGTCGCTGACTTCCCCTTTTTGACACTTTTTTCTTCATCATCTCCCTATCCCGTTAACAGTGCTCTACTTGCAGGCCCGTCCGTATGGCTGACGACCCCATTCGTTGTACACTGGTCTTCACTGTGACAACTACGGGTCAGTCGGCACTGACAGTCTCAGGTTCCTCGAAACCTTCCAGTCGCATTGTTCAAATATTGAAACAAAGTCCTCATCCGGCGTTTGTGTCATCTATTTGCCTCCATTCAGAAGAGGAAACTGTCCTAGACAACTGGGCAAATTCTGTAATAGTTCCCGTTTTCAAAATAGGTCCATAGTGAGTGCAGTGATAACTGGATAGGGGTCAGTTTGACAACAATGCTAACGAGACTTGATGTCACCTACTTTATGGTAACCATTGAAACACTGACTCGAGAGCAGTAAACGGGATTCCGGTCTTGTAAGGACTGACCACACCTTCACACTCCGTCAGGTTTAGTCAAAACGCCTACGTATGTAGCCCACAGGGCGTGTTTTTGAAAAGACAGATCAAATTTCTCCCGTTCTTTGGCACATGCTTTGCAACCACTAAGTGTAAATTAATGCTCTTGGACATACAGTCATTGTGCATACCATCTGCAATCCAAGGAGTGACACTTGATATTACAGGGATCTCTGCGAATCTTGTAGTCTATATGAGTTTTGATTGTAGTATGACTCAGATCGCATCTGCTAATTTGAGATATCAATGGCAGCAAAGTGGCATATCCCAGGATCTCACGAGACGTGTGTATCATGCCACAGTATGGGCTGTTTTGTTGTATGGCTGAGACGTGGCCTGTTTGAGCAGCGAAATCGGGACGTCTTTAGGTCTTCGACAGCTGTTGCCTCGGAACCATAGGTCGTGCAAGGCGGTGTCAGCCAATCCGCAACGAGACAGCTAGAAAGCTATTGATCATAGTGATGACGCTAATGGCACTGACGATGATACAGTCAGATAATGTGAATGTAAATTACGGATATCGGATTACGGCATCTCTAGAGATGCGTAGGTAGGGTGTGATCTCACGTCTTTTATTTGGTTGCAGGTTCCGCTGACATGACATTTATTTACCGTGGCCTGTCTCTTGCCAATCAAGCAGAATTCTTTTGATTTACTCCACCGTTTAATGGCGACAGAAGGCGTCGCCCTTCGCTGTGATCTGTAATTCGACCTGCAAAGTTTATGGATGGAGCGGTTAGATTCTTATACGTACAGAGGAACTCTGTAGTAACCAAAAAGATCCTGCTCGTGACCATTTTAGAATGAGTTCCCAATTTTTCGGGTCGAATGTGTCTCACTGAACTCATAGTATATAATATGTAGGTCCTAGCGCCGGGTTATCACTCGCTTCACAGTTTATCCCACGCGTAAAGACCACTGCGGACCATGTGCAACCGTTGTGTGTAAGTAATATGCTTCGTCCATTACGCTGGAACTCAGAACTTTTACGTGAACGCTATCATGGCGTGCATTCTTTAGACAGAAATTCAGCTAACAGTCAAACTTCTTGTGCTATAAGAGGCAGATTATTCTGCTCAAAAGTGTCTGTTCATGAGGGCTTGTGTTTTGCACGTTTGATTCACAAGTAGCGTACTGTGTAGGTTGTAAATAGCTTCTCACTGAACCGCGTTTTTTTTTAACATACTGCTAACCACCAAATTTCCTCTTTTCAGGGCTCTACTCGGATTATATCAAGAACTGGATGGGTACTGAAGAAAACGGTCTCGCGACTCCCAGGTGGAGGGCTGGGACAAAGCGAACATCAGAATGCGACCTACTGCACGATGCTTGACTGCATTCTCTTGAACCTAACGGCACCATCTGGAGACAACTCCATGCAGATCTGTGACGGGGATAATGCTTCGACCGATTTACCGTTGGAATTCAAGGTTTTAGATCTAATACGGTATCGTGGCACTTGCTACGCCAGCTTGCCAGTAAGTTTTACTGTCTTTGACTTTCGAGTTCTTCTGTCATTGTAACTTGCTTTCGTGTATTTTTTCTTACTTATTAATATACCGATTCATCATCGACCTTCTGCTAGCAGGTTCTTGCAGATGCCACTGGCATTTCTGCACCGTGGATCTGCCGTAAGATGTGCATAACCATCTTAGCCTGAACAATGTTGGCAAATGATCTCCATCAATGGACGTCACAAATGTTCGAGCTGGCCCCAATCTCAAATCAGCCACAAATTTCCTGTAATCACCCTCTTGAGCGGTACGAGGATAAAATTACTCTGCTGATTGTTTTCATGTCTTATCACCTGGACGTCCATTGTGCCATTTTTATGCTCCCTTTGTATTTAGAGTGTTGGAAATAATTCAAGATAAAAGGGGCGTGAATCTGCTTACCGGAAGGTGAGAAAGATAAAAATCATTCAGTTATGATACCCTTTTGGCGCCTAACTGCCGTGTCACTTGATGAAAGCTCGTTCGAAGTTATATACCGCGCCCCATCTAGAGGTTGAAAGGTCTCATGAGCATTAATTTAACACGAAGTTCCAAAATTTACTTGGCTTGCTCAACGGATGTGTTTGAATTTGCAACCATAAAAGCATCTGTTGCCCCATGGTTCGAGCCCAAGCGCATAGTGCCGCCTAACTCCAATTCAAGGTGGTACAAATGTCCATTTGTTTATATTTTGTGGATAGTTAAAGCTCTCTGAAGACAACTATTTGTGTAAACAACCGAACTTCGCACACTTTGCGTAACATAGTGCAGTCCCCATATGCCTTATACGATCGTTCTCCTACGGTGAAGAAGGGGTTTTGTGTTCTCTAACCTTTTGTGAATTAATTGTTTTTCAGTTTCGCGAACGCTGCTGTTGGATGGAACAGTACCTACATAGCCAGATAGAGGAGTCTCAAGAGGATGATCCGGTGGGTTTTCTCTACGGATTGACCACTGTTTTCATTATTTTCTCATCTAAAAACACAATTGCGTCGAAGGATGGTAACGCACTTTAGACTGGCTCAAGACGAAGTCAAGTGCACGCTCGTACAGTAGTCTTTTTCGAGCGAGGATGGGTATCCTTACTTATAGTTTTATCAAGGTAGTATTATTTAAGGGACACTTGTTGACTTATTCTACTAATTCAGCTACGCGTGTTGGCAGTCTTCAAACTAGTCATCCTGGCTTCTCTACCAGAAGTAGCATTTGCGGGTGTAGGGGATTTGGGTCCATATGAAACGGCTTTCAATTCCGTATAAAACAGGAATAATAGCTGATTGCCAGTGATCTCAAAGTTTTGGACGGAGAAAGGACGGGAAGGTTTGTGTTGCGGTCAACGAGCAGAGAACCGATGCAGGCTGTGGGTTGCACAACCATCACTAAGCCAATTAATGTTGAACTACACGAGGGACTTCAGACAGAATTTCTATGAGAATTGCGTACTTCCGTTACTTCAAAAGTGCTTGTGAGAGTAATGTTTTCTTTCTATCCGGCTGCCTGTCTGTCAACCCCTCCCTCTAAGTTCAAGACAGCTCGGTGCCTAGGTCGTGAACTTTCTGGCCACAAAACTTATCGTTCGAACTCAACTTCAGCATCTCGGCTGCTCCTGCCTATGCTTAGGTAACCTGGAAGTATCCCAGCCTTCGTACTTCCCTTGGGTTGCACGGAGGTCAGGCACCTAAAAAGTGGTACACATGAACGCTTTTTCCTGTCTATCCGTCTCTCTCTCGCTCCCTCTTTCTCTCTCTCTCTCTCTCTCTCTCTCTCTATATATAAGTATTTGCCACTAGAGGTTGGTGGTTCCTCTGTTAGTAGCCGGTCTACTTTGTTTAGAGCAGCCTGATTAAATCGGTCTTTTGTGTCTAGGATACTTGAGTAAATCGGTTTCATGCCTGAAATAAACCGCCGATCTTGTCGGACGCCTGGAGCTGTTATCTGCTCATACTCCCTCACTTTTCGATTTCGACATTTTCGAGCTAACCCTCATCATCACATCGTTCTTTCAACTACGACTGGTGTCATGAGTGGCAGTTCTCAGCAGTTTGCGCGTGGTGTGTGGATCCTAAAGAAATTCAGTCTGCCGGAAGTATTCCGTTTTTTCACTCCTGTTCTGGAATATTCACCGCAGATTGTCTGTAGGGTACCCACAATTGCGTGTAACCACTCATGTGTTTCTATGTCCACTCGTAATGGATGAATAATATTAGGACCTTGCTGATTCGATGCTATGCCGCAGTAACCTATCTACTAACCTCTTGGAACTTCAAAACACTTGAGGTGCGGAAACAGGTAGCCCTATAGGTGTTTGGAATCAAAAGCGTCACGATGAGAGAAGTTTTTTCAACAAACTGTGCACAGCAACCAATGCTCGTCATTTGCATCAGGCAGTCGAATGTGTAGGTGTTAGGTGATACCACTGTGCATACGCGCGGTAGCGACACCGTACATACCAGTGTGTGTGACAGCAAACATCTAACGGTGTCTCGGTACGCTAAGTTTGGACGTCAAACGGTGAAAAAAATCTAAGACAAGTGAGTAAACTTCAGCTGGTAGTGTTCAAATTCTTATTCGGAAGGTTGTGGGTACAAGCCTTTCTCGAGGTACACACTGATGAGAATTCCAAACAAGCGTGAGATCACGTTTCAGCATAGATTCACTTTGCCTGCACGATGTTGTTACCAAGGCTTGGTGTGACTGTCGATTTCTCCCCCATCCCTATAAGTTATGGCCCTGTGCTTGCTTCTCCGTTTAGTATTTCGTCTCAGTTTCTCTTTTCTAATTCGCAGGTTCGTTTCGAAGTCATCCCAGCCTATTCTTGCGACTTGGAATCAATGAATGCCGTGTTATCGGTGAAGCCAAAATATGAGGTACCTGTCTGTGAGTTTTTTCCCGTTATCCATGCGTTTCTGCCGTTTGAGAAGGAAACTCTGATAGTCACATCTCTGATTAGTCAGTCACACTACGGACGACGTTGCCTGCCCCTATTTGGGTTTCTACCAGTATTCTACGGGGTATTTTGACCGAACTGCTCTCAACGCCAAAACAAACCTATTGCGGCCTGTACCCGTGTAGCCGCGTCTCGTACGTTGTCAGAATTATCTAGTTGTAGAGCATATTTAGATTTCCTCGTGAACAAGTCAACCCGTGCCGAGGTTTCGAAGCACTAAGTAGCTGCTTTATCCTTGTCTGAAATCATCATCAAAGCGCATGAAAACAGGTTTGTGTGATTCACACATGCTTCTACCAACTTTCAGCGAACATGTTGATCGTCCTCTTCGGTTTTTCAATTGTTTCTCAATAGTCGCGTAAACGTCGTATATTCTCCGTCATTCGATTCACTATTTCATGCACTATTCTGAGGTAGAATCCTTTTACGATATCTCTCCACCCTCTTAGGACATCACTTTATTTTGCCTTGATAAAATTTGCTAGATGATAGATTCCTGTTGACTTGTAAAAATCCAGAGAAAGACGACTTGATGCGATGTGCTGAGGAGTTTATGATAATTTGGGCCTCATTCCGCAGTTTGTACATCCCTTAGGTTATCCCTGGATTTTCATCAGGGCACTTTAAGATTCTTAGCGTAAACTTTTCTGGATGGAAGGCATGGCGATACAGAGTATGTGATGCAGCGTGACGTTCTGATGACTACGGGTCATCTTTGGCAGAGTTACTCAACCGTGAAATGATCAAAGGGATAGAGAAGACGAATTGGACAGGATCACACACCGTCCCCGAGTCGCCACTGATTCGAAGATTCCTCGTATAAGCCGGACAATTTCTTTGAAACGGTGGAACATCCTAACATAGGGGATTGCAGTCATTGGCCGTTTCTCACTTCTTCAATTCATTCACCAGAGACCCTGTCTCAGTTGTTCTGTTATGGATATATTGCACTGTAAGAACATGATCAACATGAGTGTTAGCTGGAACACACAAGTATCGTGATAGAACACGCACGGACTAAATCAGACTGATTGCTTTTGTTTTTACATCCCAGCTCTTAACCAGGTTTATAAGGGCGAATTAAGATTTTCCAGTGCACTGTCCCCCAGCAACAACTCACAAGAGAATCAGTGCAAAGTATTAGGAAATTCCCAGCCTCCTTTGGACTCCCGGCTAATCTTCCTAGGAGAATGCACTTGTATCAAATGATCATCTAAACTGTTTCAATGGATATGACGCTTCGGTTAGACCTTTGTAACTCACCCAGTTTAGTTCGAAATTGGTTTTCTCGACTTTCTGAAAAGTCTGATTCTATACATGCAGTCCAAGCTTCATCTCAGTCGGTTGAACTGCTTTTTTTGCTTGAAGTTGTTCTATAGTTGTACTGTTCAATTTCTGCTTAGAAGTGCATCTAAACTAATCTCATTGTTTGACATGTCAACAGCTATTTGTATTTCTGCGAAATTCATTCATCAACGGACCAGTTTTATCGGAACAATTAGCTGGGTTGTCCCCAGGCGTCGTGCAGTTCAGCGCCTCGTTCCCGCTGGCATGCCTAGATCCACGTTTGTTGCCCCAAACGAATTTTGGCATTTCTAACCGGATATAGCCGAGGGACCTTTGAAACTAGTCAGCTTGTTTTCAACTTGCCCGTTGTTCTATTGCAAAAGGTTTGGTCAAGTCACAATATCTTGATGGAATGTGGCTTAGTTAAAGCTGCTTTCATTCCTAACATTTTTTATCAGGAGCCAAATGATTGGTTTTGACAAAACACGTTGAAGAACAATGGTGCTACTGAATGCCACGCTTCCGGTGTTTTTACTCCCAACAATTGGGATAGTGTACTCGAAAGAGCTTGTTTACATGACCGGACTGAGGCCCAATTTCTCTCCATCCGTCCGAGGAATTTGACACGAATAAGCAAATGTTCTGTTTGAGCTCTCGATGCACTTTCGGAATCAGTATGTGCTCCTCTCGCTACGTTCAGGAGCCCTCCTCAGTAAGGTCACATGAAGCAGATAGGGAGTCCCAGTGTTAAGAATAAATGGTCCGTAATGCGTGCATAGACAATTACATTATTCAGTGCCGTAATATTTTGGACTGATAAAGCGGAGAGAATTCGATTACCTGGACCACCCAGAGGATGTTTCTCAAGTACCGTCTGCCGAACGTAAAGTCCGATTCACACAGTCCGGAACACTTCGGACTGCCATAGTTTCGTCGACAGGATATACTGAATTTAAATTAAGTTAACTCTCACGCAAGGCGGTGATTATCATCTAAAACCGTGCATCATTTAGTGCATGGCCTGACCAACCCTTACGCACCACCCCATATTCACCAAAACCACATAAGCCGCGTGCATCTCTTGAATTCCGATTGGTAGGTTAGATTTCTTATCGACTGAAAACGGGTCCTGAGGCTGCTGCTAACAAAGATGTTTGTGTAACGCACTACTCATAAGGTTGCTGAAAACTCCTCGATGTCTGTGTTTCGAATACACTTTGGCTCTCCGTTTTCCTTCTGACATCAGTGGTACGTTAGTACAGCGTTTCTGGCGGGAGATGAGTAAGGTTCATTAGGAGGGAGTGGTGATGAGCGATAGAGACTTGTTCACCATCGCTATCAATTTTCACGTTTGTTTCGAAATGACGTGCGCGCATCATTCAGCCAGTCGTTAATGTGCCATCCCACAACACACGATTCACGCGAATCCTCTAAGTGTACCTGTAGGTTGAGTTTTTAGTAAGCCAGTGCATTACTGTTGAGATCATCTTTTAGCCATGCTCCCCTCACAGTCAGCGTGGATGCGTTGGCTAGACTTGGTCTTGAAGCTGCGGGATTGAAATGTATCAACAACGGTGAACCAGGTTTGTGTCGCGTTGACAGAACATCATTTTGAAGAAAGCTTCGAGCCTAAACTGTGGTTTCAAGGTCGTATTCGAACTTTTGCTTGTGAAAAGTGCGGTCACTATCCTGAGTTGTGCAAAAGTCGAAGTTCAGTTATTGTGTTTATGACCTATCAGAGGGGGCTTTCAGTTCCATCAACGTGATCATTTCGCGATTTTCAAAGAGACTGCACATTTTGGAAATTGTACATTCCAGACTTCGTTCAAGTGACTATTAACCTGACACGTACGAATTATGTTTACGACACTAGCTATTTTCGCTTTCAGGCAAGCACGAAGAGTGGGAATAGTAGGCTTATCCTTTTTTTAAGGGATCGTACACGAAATCGAGCCTGACTGCCGGCACTATTGTATTCTAAAGAGGCTAGCTATTTTCCTAAGGTTTCTATCTTGTGAGGAACGGTGTGCGTTTCGTTTCCTCGTGTAATTCGCGTTTTTTTAAGTTGTTTTGTTCACGTAAAATGAAGGTGTAGCGGCATCATGTATAGGGAGCTGAATAGGCAGTGAGCCTAAAAGTCTGAGTATCACCAGTGAGATTCACTTGGCATTGTGTGTATAACATGTTTGTCCATACTTCGTGCTACCCTGTCTGCCAACCAATGAGATGTACACTCAGACACGCTCTCCAAACGGCATTCTAGTGACTAGGTGGCTTAGCACGCCTCACTGAAGCCAGCAGGTGACCTGTCTAGTCAGCTTCCTGAGAGAACGTACGTCTATTGTGGGCTATGTTAACTTTGTTCTTGATGAGTCCCTGTGAACGGCTGGCTAACCGAATCCCCTTTCTGGAGCTATCACGGGGCGATCGACTTCACCAAACCAAAACTGCCCCCCAATGGGATTCAAAAACGTTCTGAAGAGCGTGGGACGTTGTTTGGTTGCTCTGAAAATTTGCGGCTTCGATGTGACCAAACCCCCAAAAAGCACAGATTCACGGGAACTTTCGTCCCCATTGAGACTGGTCGGGTTTCTGTAGGCAATCGGCTACGTAACCCTTTGGTTAACAGTTTCAAGCTGTTTCCTCTGGACCACCTCTGCGTCCACTCATCAGCAATTCAGCTGATGAATTTGCTTTTGGGTGCTATCCTTGGTCTAACTACCTCCTGATTGCTTTTCAGACACCCCCACTGATTACTGTGAGTTTTCAGAGTTTCCTCCGGTTGATCGTTGGTCCTCTCGAAGAACCTAAAGCCATATTTTACCATTTTCGCCTGTTACTCTCCAACGTAATAGGGCAGAACTCGTTACGTACCAAAGTGTTACTCATCTGGTAATTAACTTCACTTAGACGCGGCATTTCTTGACAACGCACGAGATACTGTGCTCGTCGGTGGCAAGCAGACAAAGAATGATGTAAATATGTCGGAGCCAATTTGATATGTTTTGAAGGTACTTAATACAGCCATCATGTTTCTCCTCCATCAGTATGTCGTGTTTTTCTCTTCATCCCCCGAAGGTTGATGGCATTCTGTTCTACCATGAAGTTGTCACCTACGAACCTGGAGCAACGCCACTTGTGGGTTGGCTCAAGCCATACATGCTTAGCGAATGGTTCCCTGAAGTAACCCTCCATCCAGATCATATGGCTGATATTCCAGCTGACTACACAGACTACCGGAACGAAGTTCGTGCACAAGAGGAGCGAGCGCGGTGTAAACTCAAGTCACCGAATAAACAAGTCAACTGTGATTCTGTGGGAGAGCATTCAATTGTTCACTGACGGACGTCTTCACACCACCTCTCATCCATTGCCATTTTTATATTTTTTCACACCTCACTTCTATGTATCACGGACGCAGACACCGGATTCTTTCAATGTATAAATCTTCCTGAGATGCAGGTATTCTTGATTTTGTTGGTGTGCGGATAAGTGAATACGGTCGGATATCCATTTAGTTAGGATGCTTCCCGATCACGTGGAGTCCAAGTGTGATGATGAGAAGCTAGTGCACCCAGAAGTCAAACGAAACCATGAAAACCAGCTCCTCAAATGTCTGCAGGACGGCACGGTGTCGGAGGTAAACGGCCACTTGTAGAAAATCTCCAAAGCGCTACTCAAACCCGGACTACCTGTTTGCGGTATAATCCAGCCAACCTCATCCAAGCATTGGATCTCTGATAGGAACGTGTCTTTGCTGAAGAGTCGGCGACAGATTCTCCGTGGCCGCCACAACTCCACCCGGCGTATCATCCGACGCCAGATGAAACTGAGTGTCCGCGCAGACCGAGAAGCTTAATGGACCCGGAAGGCCGAAGAAAAGGAAGGTGCGAAGAATGCTGGAAACGTGCGCAAACTGTTCCACTTGATTCGTTCGACCGTTCCTCGAAAACCTCTTGTCAACGAAATAATCAGAGACCAAAATGGCTCCCTGACATGGAGCAAAGTAGAACGTTTGGACCGCTAGACACAGTACTTCGAAAAGCAATTCAGCTGGCTAACTGCAATCCAGAATCATGGCGTTCAACACAAAGGCAGACTGTAAATATGTAGCCACCTTCAGTCTCAGAAGTGTCCGAATGCATTTCTCTACTCAAGTGTCATCGTGTTGCTGGTCCTGACGACCTTCCACCTGCTCTTTTCAAGGATGATGGTGGATTCCTCAGTCAGTGCCTGTCTAGCCTATTTGGGTTTACCTGGGAGGAGACCGTCCCAGACAACTGGGGTACTCGCAGTGGATGTAACAACGACGGTGTTAGTTTGACGTCTGTTGTGACAAGGCTTCTGGTGTCACTGATTCTTCGTCGTCTTATGGTGGCACTCGAAGTCTTGACTTGTGAGAATCAAGTGGGATTCCGACCGGGTAGGGGCTGCGTTGACCACATCTTCACAGATCGTCAGGTGTTAGAGCAACGCCAGATGTGCATACGACCCACAATCCTGATATTCCTTGACTTTAAGGGTGCGTTTGATCCTGTTGATCGATCAGTACTGTTAACTACAGTTGCTCAACAAGGTATGCCCCAAAAGTTTGTAAACATGATCTGACTCCCGTTTTCGCATACTTCTGGACGGATGAGAGTGTACGGTGAGTTCTCTAAAAGCTTCCCTACAAAAAGTATCAGACAAGGATGTCCGCTATGAACATTATTGTTCAGCTTCGTCATTGATAAAAACACAGTCATCAAGCGTAGTACAAACCTATGGTACTCGGCTCCTGCTAAGTATGGAGAACGATCCCTACGCGGAGTTCGGCACAATCAGTCGTGACGTACGCAAGACAGCTGATTTGGTGCCGCAGTGGAACACACTGCTGATAAGATGGAGGTAGTATCCGTCATTCCGAAATTAGTATGAGTATGCAGTGTAGAAGGAAGGTAAATCAAGTACTCGAATAAAGTAACTGGAAGCACTCGTTTTCTCTGCGGTGAACTCACTTTGGAGTGATTACAAATTAGCAAGCCACGAATTATCGTTAGTCCGGCCGCTACTGACCGAACTAATCAATACAAAGTGGAAAAATCGAATATCCTTCCCGATATGCGATGGTCCTTTTTTAGCCAGGCGGAAAATGAACCGACGTTAAAAGTGAAAACAAGGATGCACTCGATGGATGACCTTAAACCGACTGGAATACGCACAGTCAACTAGGCACCTGGTACGTGTGTGCACTTGCCGAACGGGGTCGTATTCATTATGCAGTTCAGCGAACAGTTATTTTTGACAGCCTTCTATGAAAATACGATAGCTAAATAGCCAGCCAAAGGGTCTACGCGAAAAGGATCAATATTGGCAGCAGTGTTATGTGATTATTGCGTCTTGCTGGCCGTTGGACGCTACACAAATACGAGATAAATCGCGTCTGCCGTACACACCAAAAGGATGGGTATGGGCGTCATCTAACGATTTTATTCGTAGAATAGGTTGACTTGGGGCATTGCTTTGACTAGGTGGCTCGTAGTTCCGCCTTAGCAAACTGTCCGTCCTTAGTAAACATAAGCACTCCTGTCTATGAAGCTGAAAACCGCGGCATAATGCAACTGGTGACAGTGAAAACTTGCTCTGATAGTCACCGATTAGCAGATGGAGTTGAAACAACACAAACGCCTACTTTCTCTTGCATTAGAATGGGGAATTCAGGTAACTGGAAACAGTAATATTAAGTCCTTCAAATTATCAACTACCGTCACTGAGATTATCATGGACAGAAGTACGTGTTGTACGCACCCTTCTCAAAAATAGCTTCAGGATTTGACTCAAGTCACACTTGGATCCTTCCGGTGCTCACGATGTGAATTAAACACCTCCCACCTATTCAAAGCGAAGGGTCCACGTGTTATTGCTTCCGGTAGTGGCGGAGAACTTAGGGCTGAGGGGTCACCGCAATCCATATCAGGCGGCACTGTGGAGTGTGAAAAATGTTTCGCCGCAGTGTAGTTTTTCGTACAGTGAACATATTACATTAGTCTTTAACCACGAACATCTGCTTCACCCATAGCTCGTAAGCATATACCTGAGGCAACACAAATATTTATATTTTTGAGTGGTTCGAAAATACGCGTTGTCCTGTCCCCGTCCTAAAAATTAGCTACCATACCAAAGTTGTGAAGAGTTTTCATTCTGTGTACGGTGGGGATTGATCATCATCATCATCATTGTCAGCTGTAATAACCGCGTACTCGTCGTACAGTGGTTCTAGCTGCCGCAGTTTCGTTCACCGATGTTTTGGGGGGGGATAGGTGCAGTCGGCTGTCAAGTGAGGTGGGTTGGAAAGGAGATATGGCATTGAAGGCAATAGCTTGGATGCACGAGCGCCATTGAGGGCGCGAGTGGGCCATATCTGACAATGTCTCCAGCCATTGATGTGGCCCGTCTCGGGGTCCCCAACCCGGAAGACGGCAGTGACCAGCGCAGCTGAGTTTGCTGGTAATTGCTTTCATACTTCGCTGGTGGAGGATTAAGATCGTTTCCGACTGGTATGTGAGTGCTGTTCCGAATTTCTAACAAGCCTTCGACTAGATGGCACAGTTGGCCAGTTTACCCGATGAGAACCCAATAAACTTTATTCAAAGAGAACGTCTTCTCGAAACCAACAGATGTCAGATTAAGTGAAGGGTTTGAGTAGCGCTACTTATTCCGCCGAGCAAGTCGCACGCTTCCTCGACTTTAAAGCAGATTTGCTGTCCGAAAGATCTCTGATCAGAGTGGGGTATCTTCGAATTTCGTAAACACTTCTGATGCCTTTTATTCCCATGTTTTTGTTCGGGTTAGGTTCCGTCCAGAAGCTTTCTTACGAACTGGTGGAGTTCATCAAGACTATCCCCTCTGCTTTTTTGTTCATTTTTGCCTTCGACATTGCCGTGGGGTGCACACACCAATAGACCATGACAGGTATTGATGGACTTCGATTATGCGGATGCCATCGTTTTTGTTTGACGGTTATTTGCGCACGCGAATTACCTTGGACATTTGTAGTGCACCAGCAAAGCGCAGCCCTACTCCAAGATCCCCCACCATTTTGAGCTTCTCTGGAACTTCAGAATGAGCTTGGGTTTATTGGCCGCTCCACGAATCCCGGCAGCTGCATGAGCCTTGAGTGTACTGTAACAGATGAAGTCAAGGGCGCATAATCAAGGTGCGAGCGGCTTTCTCCAATATGCGTCATTCATGGCGTTAGGAACGGATTTCGCTAGAGCTGAAGGGTTATGTATTAAGAACAAGAGAAGTCTTACTCGGTGGTTGAGAGATCCAAGGGTCTGACCACTATTGTTTCCATAGAACACCATGAATTAGGTGGCCTCAGCGAATCCGCAACGAAGTGATGTGGGCCGGTAATTTCTAACGGATCCGAACCGATAGGACAACAGAATAAACTTGCCAGGTTGAAGTATATAATACGTACATCCAAACACTGTATGCACAAGAGTTGTTCGCCGCTCCAAGCCATCGTCGGCGGAAAGTTCACACGGGACAGGCGATGATATGGTAACCTGAAGCGAGAGGCCACTGTCAGGCTGCACACTGAGATTTTCAGGCCTCCCTAGGTAGGGCTCACGTGATCCTGTTTGCAGGTGGTTGGAAAACTCACAAGGTATGGCACGCAACCGATTTGTGGCACCATTACTGTGATTTTCTAGCCGAATCGCCCAACTAAAGTTCAACTTCTGTTGTGCGCTAGGGTTATGCCGTGTTGACTTCACAAAGGATGCGGGGTCAATCCCGTTCGTGGCGCCTGACTTCGAAATGATGCTGATGTTTCCAGTGCTGTTCAGTGGTGTAGGCTCCCTATTCTAGATGATCTTCCTTAAGGACATGACTTATTTGCACTAAGTCCCTATCATTCCAATCCCTTGCTATCATGATAGTTTGACAGTTATGCACTAGTTTGTATTACTGCTGTAGCGCAGTTTACAATGGTTACAAGTGATTGATGACACCATCGATGAATACACTGAGGACATTGTACCTAGAAATGTGGAGTCCAAACTACCGGTACCGAAATCTCTTCAAGAGGGGTGCCCGTAGAGGTCCCCATCAAACATGATTGGGTGTGAAATCCCCCCTAGCGAAGACAAGTCACTCTATGAAAAAACAGTCCTCAGCGGAACTACTGCATTGTAAAGGTGTACCATTGAAATATCAATGGGTGACAAACGAAACCCCAACGGGCTATCCATATCCCCGATAGGTGACCGGTAAAGTGCGACTACCAGACTACTCGAAAACTATTAGAAAACCTACTCAATCGACCCAATCAATTCAAAAATATCACCAGAAACGAAAGTCGCTGCTTTCTGCCGGAATCCTCATGGGGACGGCGCGCAGAATTTAGCAAAACTATCGGTTGTAGCATCACGTGGCGAGATTACGGTCCCAGCTGACCGAACAACGGTAGAACAAGACTTTTTCAGGAAACGAACGTGCAGCTTGGTTGTTGGTCTGTTAGTCTAGCTTGGTAGTCGGATTGCGAACAGACCATTGACCAAGTAGCGTACCCGAGCTACCTATAGTCCACAACATTGACAGATGTGTAGGGTCCAGAAAGCCCAGTAGAACCAGAATTACGACAGCCTGGACTAGACCCTCTCCGCTAGGAACGCTGACAACTAGCATCGCCCTCCGATTCGACATTGTGTACGCTCACCATTTGATCATAAGGACATGGAACACCTTAATAAGGAAAGCCTCAAACCTGAAAGCGTACGGTTTAAGGTACCGAATAAGAGTTACCACCTCAGTCCTCCATTAAACAACTACTGATTGATGAGTCGTTGATATGCACTAACTGAGGTGCATTGTCAACCAACCATATGGCAATCAATGTTGTACTGAGCGCTCAATCGTACGGGGCTGACACATCGCGTCAGTTATTAAACAACTACTGATTGATGAGTCGTTGCTATGCACTAACTGAGGTGCACTGTCAACCAACCATATGGCAATCAATGCTGTACTGAGCGCTCAATCGTACGGGACTGACACATCGCGTCAGTTGAAAGCCAGCTGACGTACCCGAATTCCTCCTCATTAATTGATGGTTGCATGTTTCGACACTTCAAAGGAAGAGAACCTGGGTCACAATCGACTTAACTCGCTGTCTTACCTACTAAAACTGGGGATATCGCAGAAGTGAAGATGAACGCTCCTTACCAAGATAGTCCATTCGACTAACTAAATTGTACCAAGGTCTCGCCTCACACACATTGCGCATCACCAGCATACGGGATTTTGAAGCTGGTAGCACGCTTACAAGCACGCAGTGCGTTACAATCCCGATGTGTTCGTTGAGGTCTCGCTCCAGCAGCCTAGACTAAGGTGGACTGTTCAAGCGATATCCCTGCCGTCCGCTGCTTTGTTTGATGTAACGAGTGGGCTATAATGGAGTTTTAGAGAAGTCACTGTTTCACAATATTCTCCCCTCTACGACAAATAGTAAAAACGCTTGGATCTGCAGGTCAGCGAACCAATCTTGAGGCCAAAACAACTAGCTGTGTTCATTTTGCGCCAGCATAATTCACAACTGTTGGTTTGGGTTTAATTGCTCAGGTTTCAACTGTTCAACCATAAAGTCAGAGAGCCAACGAATGTGCGTGGTTTGGCCTGAAGGAACTCCAAACAAAAGATCGAATACTGTTTCGGTGACGTTCGCCTTACAACTATTTTGTGATGAAAGACCGGCGGCTGACCTCTAATCGGTACTGGGATTTTTTAAAGATTCCCCGATTCGTTCGCAAAACTGAGAAGGGACTTATGCCTATGATGAAACCTGCCATACCAAACGCCTCAGGTAGAAAAACACAAAGTGAAAGCCCGAAGCAAGTTCTGCCTCTTTTCTTAGAGAACCGACGACAGAATATCCCCCGAAGTAGCTCGTCCAGTCCATATACTCAGGTCATCAGTGTCACGAAAAGGCATTTATATCCCTGGGTTGGAATTTTGTCAACAATCTATTCTCCCAATTTATGTTTTCCCTTATTACAACCTCACCAAAACAATCTTTTGATCGCCTCGAGTGTTCTGAGAGTCAAAATACTCATTGTGGGGGCCTTCGTTCCCAACAACAAATTCTCGATCATGAGATGCGGACAGTTGTTATATCGAACCATGCGATAACAGGTCTAAGAAACAAACCGCTCGCGGTTGTCGATATGTAATCTCCAGCACTTCATTGAAGGGCAAGAAAATAATGAGTTTCAAGCCTTCTCGATACGGCTACATTCCGTTTCAGAGCAACCTGCCAGTCATCAACAGATGGCACGTTCGGTGATAATGGGCGAATTTACGAAAAAAAATTGAAACTACGCATCCCTGCTTATGAGAAACGAGCAGTGATGTCAACAGATATATTGACTAAACCACACCAGACCAAATGATTTATAGTTCCCCGTCTAAAATAGCAACGAGATTAGAAAGGCACTGCCTCGTTTAGGGCGGAACTCCGGTCTAGTAAGGCTTTTTAAAGACGAACCAATCTCAGTAGTGCTCTAATTTGAGCACGCGTCCTCACAAGACCTTCGAAGGTAGAACACGTTTCCTCGTTCCTTTGACGGTCTTCCACCGAAGGGGCTACCGTAAACTAATTATGACCCACCTGAGACTACCCATGGAAGTGGGATGCAGCAATTTGGTTCCCTTGTACGAGCCAGAGTCTCGCAGAGGTGCATATAAATGGGCTCTTTTGAAAGTATAAAACCATGCAGCTCCCCATGGCAGTCGCAGCCACGAGCACAGAAGGCACTATCAGATGGTCGATCAAACATTGAGGTACTCTGCTTGGAACACTCAAGAGTCAATAAACAGACAGCGGACATCGGTTAAAAATTCCCACCCAATGGGGTGGGGGGTGGTACAAAATGCGTTGATGTCGAATTAAACGTTCGGATCAACATGCTGACACATGCGCCACCTTTCTGAAAAAGAGGCGGACGAAATTTCATGTTTTGATTTACTGTTGTTTGCATTCCGGTTGCTCTGAAGCAGTGTTTTCTCCAGCATGTTTCTTATGGCTGCCAGCGTGTCGGTGATGATGACGCCCGTGGTGATGCCGCTGCGAAGAAGATTATGGGGTAAAAGTCAGGCCACACAGACACAAACCGGGTAAAAGATGGATTGCCGAATTATACACACAGCAGCAGATAGATCCGAAATCACCCAACTGAGGCGCTCCTTACGAAAATAGGCTTTAGAGCTAAACAGGTTACCTGAACCCAGCAGCACAACTGATGAAATACAGTTTCGCTTGCTAATGCAACCCTAATCTCCCACAAGGTCGGTGATGTCGAAAATGAGCAGGGAAGACCCTAGCAAAGCACACAGTGAACAAGAACAAGCTTAGAGCTTATCTACGTATTCGTGAAACTAGATACCGTATCACCGTCACCAACAACGTTCAGTCCTAGTAGTTAGGAAAATCATTAAACTACAGGTACACAGGATACCATAATAATGAGCTGACTGTTAATAATCAGCGAGTCCCCCTAAACCAGTATGGATGCAAATTATCGTTAGGAAGTTGACCCAAGCACGAGGCCGTTGTGGAAAGAGAAATTAGTTTGTTCATGAATGGTAAATATTGCTATTTTTCCTCCTATAAAATAAATTGACCAGAATGACTGCTCCAGGCCGCAAAGAGCCTTAGTAGATCGGAGAGTGGGATCAGTACCATCCTATCTGTTCCCTACAGTTGTGATTGCCTATGAGACATCTGGTCAAATGATCTGCACTCAGTCGGATGCAACAAAGTAAGCCGTTAAATTTTCGTCGACAGTCTCCACCCACCTATTTCATTACTGATGCTCAAATTAGCAGTTGAGCGTTCAAAAAATAGTTCAAATATAGCATATTTAGTTCGTGACTATCACATTGGCAGTGGGAAATATGAAGGCTGAGTCGAGGCTGTCGAGTCACAGAGGGGGCATGCGGTATACCAAAAGGGCACAAAACCTAAAAACTGAAAACCCACAATGGTTGCTCAACATAGGACAGCAGGTATGTCTTGGAAGGCAGTGCACATGAAGGTCTAATACTGGGAGCAGATCGAAAAATTCGGCATATCCCTATGACGAATGAAGATCGTCCTAGAGAGAAGCCAACAGTGATTACTTCCGAACGTACTATGATCACATAAGATACTTTCTATAGTCCTGATGGGCTTGTTAGCACCGCAGTTAATTGACCAAATACAACAGTCGTTTCTTTACATAGTCCATAAACTTGCCCTCTGTATAACCACCGCTGCTCCGCTTCCTAACTACACATTTATATCACGTGGATTGGCGATTAAGTGTCCACAAATAAAATACTCAACTTGGGAATACAAACGGACGAAACACTCACTAAGGAGCAGAAGCCCACGCCTACACCACTCTCGACCGTTCGAAACCTACTTAACCTAGTGAAACTAGTTGAATATTGGCTTCGAATTAAAAAACTTCAAATGTAATGAACAACAGTGCGTCAAACTCTATTCTCGCAAGTAATGCCGTTCTGGTAGTCAAATAATCGTTGCTTTCCGTAGCGTGGTCATGTACCGGTCACTGGTTTTGATGAATGACCTATTCTGGGTTGGTAGTGACAGTGTAAAAAACTAGATAGGTTTTTGGTGTATACTCA